GCTCTTGAGCTTGGTCCAGCTAATCCTAAAGGAGACATGGTTGCACCAGGCGGAGGTAAGCCGCAGCCAGCTGGGCAGCTCCAACAGCTCGGTGAGCACACGCTCATCCAGTTCCAGGTTGGAGAGTTCACCCTCGCCCCGGAAAGTGCTCAAGTTTATTTTGTCCGAGGAGAGGTTCTTCGTGTAGCTATATATGAGTGTGTGTGGAATAGAAGATAAGAGGGAACCATATGTGAGTCGTCTGCTTGTCTCGCCAATTATTTCAGCCTCGATGCACATGTCAGATTGGGTTTGCAGGGTGGGGTGGTAAGAGGAGAAGCACAAACTAACTTAAGACCAGGGCTTTAAGACCAACTTGTTCCATAAATATAGAGAAAGTATGTAAAAGAACTTATTCTTTATGAAAAAAAAACTATTCTTTGAGGCTAGTGGGTTTTTTTTTAAGGAAAAATGATAGCAGACTAAAGCAAGATATGATTACCTTGATGACTAATACCCTTTATATTAAATAACAATTATATTCTTAATTTCTCTGTGTATAAAATAAAGAAACTAGAGAGGTAGGGAGGTCAACTGTCGGCGCCAGATGGAATGGATGGCTGCCATCAATTGACCCATTTCTTGCTAATGGCTGAGCATAATTGAACTCCAACTATAGACACTGATTGAGTTAGAACCGTGAAACGTTTCGAGGGAATGGGACTTGTTCCTTAACTTATTACTTAAGAACTTTTACTGAGGAATTACTTAAATCCCAATCTCCAATACCCTTGCCAATAATAAATGCAGACCAGGTAAGTTGCCGAAACTTTCAGCCAAAAAAAATGGTTAACAACTGTCTCAGGAGGGGGAGCTTTTCTTTAACTTTTCCTCAAAAAAAAACTTCCAGCAACAAGTTTGGTTTGCATTAAGACCTCAGACCTGTTGTGCCTCAAACTTGGCTTGTTTGCAGCGTAATTGCTTGGAAGAGATGCTCCCAGCGAGGTGATGAAGAGGCCTGGAGGGATGCCAGTAATGGGGAATCATCGTTGGCAAGTGTCGCCACAAAAGGTAGCCCACAAAGGGGCCAAGACAATGTCAATATGTAGGCGGGTAAATATATCCATTGTTTAACCAAATGGCAGGACGCGGTATATTGAAGTTCATGAATGGGTTGGGGGGGAGGGGAGTGTTATGTAAAAATAGATGCCAGAAATCGAGGTTCCAAAATGAGCTTGGGGAAATTATTCCAAGGGGAGCTGAAGCCTAATTAACAGGGATTGTGGTTTAAGAATATTAACTATTTACTAATTATTGATTAAGGTTTTTATTTTAAGAAATTATAGCATAATTGAGTCATGTTATTTTTTTAAAAATAGGCGTGAGTTTTAGTTTTCTGTTTTATGGTAATTCATAAACTTTATAGATAAGAGCAAAGGTAGTAGGATTTTTAAGTACAAAAATATGGATAGTTTAGGAGTATTTAGAAGGTTTCAGAGTCATTGTTTCTCACAAATAATGAGGATATTGTTTATAATTAAAAGTTAAAAGACATAAGTTGTTTGTGCTCCCATGCCTACATAAATTTTAAAGCCTCCCACTTCAAGGTTATCGGTTAACCATCATAAAAACCATATTGAGGGGAAAAAATTGTATTTCACATGCAAATGCCTGAGGCGATGGAAAGGGAAACATTTTCAATTTCAAGACGGCGCCAGTAAAAAATAATAAACTTTTACAGACAACGACCAGGGGAGAGAGGCTTAAAGTGCGTGGGAGGAAATTGGCAATCCACTTGTTACTGCTAAAGGGGGGCAGATCCAACAGGGCACCTCCAGTGGGGCAGCGAGATGGGAAACAAATTAGCAAGGGGCAGCAGCAGCCAAACGAAAAACGATAAAGGCGGCATAAAAGCGGCATAAAAGCGGGCCGGGACAGGTGACTGGTGGAGCTGGGTGGAAAAGCGGAGGGGGAGTTGATGGGAGGGAAGCTGTGAAAAATACACACACACACATATATACAGCCAGGCAGATAGAGGGAAAAAGCTGGGAAAAATCAATTCAGTCTCCAAGCGCTACAGCCTGCAATCTGGCACGACCCGAGAGCAGTTAATTGAGTTTCGACTCGCTGCATAATTTAGTTTAGCATCCAACTATAGATTAACACTTATCGCTTACATTGACAAATGCTTGAGCAGTTGATTTTTTATCAGCGAGACCATCTTGTGACGTCAGCAGCTTTCGGGGATAAAACAAACAAATAAGCAACTGGTCCGCGGAGCTCTGTTCAACTTAATCCGAGTCGCATCCCTGGATATTACTTGGAGGCACTTGATTTGGGATCTTTGAGCCTATACGGCTGGCAATACGCTCTGTAATTTTTTTCCACCCTGATGTATTGGAATTTTCGGTGGTGCAACTGGCACTCGGATCGAATCCGATTAGAATGCAATCACTCGCGAGACGACTGGCGGGCTGTACAGCGATCACATATCCACGCTCACACACGGGAGGGTCTGGCAATCAGTCTGCTCTGGGATTAGTCATGTTTTGGGGACACTCTTAACGGCGATAACGGTGGAAGTTGAATCGGAAGTAGATCCAAGGATTTCGCAGTTGGTATTGTTTGGAATTTGCTGATAGTGTGGCTGCATCCAATAACGGACTTGCGCCGAGCTGCCGGCAAAAGTGGGACATTTTTGAAAAGCCATTGTTGGGTCACATTGGGAAGATTGTTTTCATTCGAATTCAGAAATGTAATGGAGAAATTTTGATCAAATAAGCTGGTGTTATTATTTCAAATACTTTACATAAAAATTCAAAAAAAAAAATCAAAATCTTCCGTTTACCGATCTGTTTGCATATCTAAAATAAGTGCTCTGCAAGTTCGAAAAACGACAAACAGTGTTGAGAAACACGGAAAGTGGACCTAAATCGTTTTTCCCACAGCTGTGCGATTTATCTGTCCCTGGAAAATCGCTCGTTGTGCATTTTGTGTTTCTGTCTCTCGTTCCCGTTCCTGCTAATAAAAAATAATTCAACATCTTTAACCGCAACTAGAAGGCCGAACTATGTCCAGCAGCGAGGCGCCCGACGCGCTGGTGGAGCAGGTGGTGGAGGTGACTGCTTGCTCGGCGGACGAAGCCAAGCATTATCTGGGTGCCTGCGCCAACGATGTGTCCGCCGCCGTTGCACTTTTCTTCGAGCAGGCAGCATCCACATCTGGCGCTGCACCGGCTGCCCCTTCGCTTCCCTTGCTTGACGACGAGGAGGAGGTGAGGGCGCCCATTGCTCCGGTGCGGGAGCAACTGATCATGCCTGAGGACGATAACTTCTTCGCGTCTGGCAGTAGCAGCCGATTGTCACGCGTTTCGCAGAGGGTAAAGGTGTGCCCCCTGAGGGACTTTGCCCGTGAAGGTGCCCTGATGGAGGAACAACTGCAGGCAACCGGAGTCTATTCGGATCCGAGTGCCCATCGACGGCGCCGAGAGCGCTCTGCACAGATGGTTGTGGCTGGGCAGGCCATGGCCCTTAACAATCGCTCCACCGCCGGCGCTACCAGCACAGCTCGTCTAGGAGACCTGTTCCGCCCGCCCACAGACATCACTTACTCCGGAACACTCACTGCCGCCCGGGAGTTTGCCACCAAGCGGCAACGCTGGTTGCTGGTCAACGTGCAAAGCGACAATTTCCAATCTCAGACCATGAACCGAGATGTGTGGTCCGACAAAGAACTGAAGAAGCTGGTGCGTCGCCAGTTTACGTTCTGGCAAGTGGACAACGACACTTCCGAGGGCCGGCGCTTTGTTGCCTTCTATCGATGTGCCACGCTTCCCTATCTGTGCGTAATCGATCCCCGCACTGGCGAGGAGGTGTGGCGCAGTCCAGAACCAAAGCAGGACAATGTTCTGCCTGATTTACGACAGTTCTTAAAGGAGCACCGCGATTTCATAGAGGAGGATGCACCTAGCACCTCTAAGCGGGGCGCCATTCACATTGATGATTCGCAGGATGGGGACACAGAAGCATCATGCTCCTCGACAGCCAGCACTCCTAAAAAGAGAGCAAAGCTCATGGAACTTACGGAGGAGGAGCAGCTGGAGCTGGCCATTAAGAATTCCATGAACGAGAACGGAGGAGGCTCTAAGCCAGCTAGCCAGGCCGACGGAGCCAGCGACAACGAGAGTCTAGAAGAGTTTGATGATGAAGAGCTGAAGGGTGTAACCGCCGCTTCGTATGAGAACCAATTGGGAGAAGCCAAGGATGAATTAACTGCTCTTAAACTACGCCTGCTTAACGCCGCCGGATCGGACGAAATGGTCCAGCTGCGCTGGCCTTCCGATACTAAGCTGGAGACTCTTCGCCTCTATATTCGTCAAACGCACAAGCACATCCCTCAACACGGCTACAAACTCATTTGCGCCTTTCCACGGAAAACGCTCGAGGCGGAGCACAACAACAGCTCACTGAAAGAGCTCGGTCTGCATCCTTCGGCCAATCTGCATCTCACGCTGGACGACTAAGCCAGTACACCACATGTTCCCCCACTACACCCCCCGTTGGTCTCAATTCGTTGTCAAAAAAAAAAACATATATGAATGAGCATATTTATTTACAAGTCTGTCTTTCGTCTCCGTCGCCTTGATGGTGGGAGTGTCGCCGCCGCAAAGGAAACTCCCTACTAATTAAAACTCTGTCTTAAATTTAAGTGAACGCGTATTGAATAAAGTTTAGAAATGCTAAAGCCTACCGAAAAATTGTATTTCCACAAGCTATCAAAAGAAAATAAATTAAAACAATTATTATAAGAGGTTTCTATGTATTTAAAATTCCAATTTCGAGGCATACGAAGAGCTGAATGAAACCGCCACCCAGGTTTTAAAAAAATAAAATGTTTAAAATTTAAAATAATTTAATTTCTTAAAATATGGTACTATTTTTTTGCCCGTGACTGTCAAAAGCTAAACAGAAATCAGCTGTTGCTGCCGCATGCTTGTTTCAGAGTGGCTCTCGCTTTAAATAGACTGCATTTAATTATTTATATTAATTAAAATAAAAAAGAATCTGCCATGTCGAAGCCAATTACTTTTGTGACAGGCAACGCCAAGAAGCTGGAGGAACTAGTTGCCATTTTGGGTCCCACTTTTCCACGCACTATCGTCTCCAAAAAGATCGATCTGCCGGAGTTGCAAGGTAAAGTCTATGAATTACACTATTACATCAACTAAAGACTATTAAATAAATATATATTACAGGGGAAATCGATGAGATTGCCATCAAGAAGTGCAAGGAAGCGGCACGCCACGTAAATGGTCCTGTTCTTGTGGAGGACACCAGCTTGTGTTTCAATGCCCTCGAGGGCTTGCCGGGTCCGTATATCAAGTGGTTCTTGGAAAAACTTAAACCGGAGGGCTTGTGCCGGTTACTGGAGGGATGGGAAGACAAATCTGCCCAGGCTATTTGTACATTTGGCTATTGCGAGGATGTGGATTCGGAACCGCTTATCTTTAAGGGCATAACCGATGGCGATATTGTTAGTCCCCGCGGACCAAGGACCTTTGGATGGTGAGATACTGCCCACGCTGGCAATTGCATAACCCAACTGATTATAGTTTAATAATAATTAACTTTATTGCGATAATTGCAGGGATCCCGTGTTCCAGCCCAAGGGCTATGATAAGACCTACGCCGAGCTGCCAAAAGAGGAGAAAAACACCATATCGCACCGCTATCGGGCCCTCGCCCAACTGCAGAAGCACTTTGAAAAACTGGACAAATAAAAGTGCCAACTATGCAAACTAATGATCTAAGACTGTTTATTTAAAGATGCTCATTTGTTCTACAGTGTCGAGAAATAGTTGCTATCTAAGTTTTTTTCGAGCTCACTCCTGTTTCTGCTGCATATCTCTAATCATCCTTCTTGCTCTTGGGTTTCTTGGCTTTAGCGTCCTTTGCCACGCCGGCTGGCTTGTTCCAGTAATAGATCAACTGGGACAGGATCACTCCATTGGCGAAGGTGGAGGCAATGAAGGTGACGATGATCATGGTGTCACCGGTCTCCTGAATTGAGGTGAAGATGCGGGCCACCGACCCCGCGAACATCATTATCACAGTGGCAGCGGACAACTGTCCGGTAGATCCAGCCTGATAGTTCGTGTATGCCTGCGACAGCTTTCCCACCAAAAGAATGGGAATGTTGCAGCTCTGAATGGTGAACAAGACCTTCATAGAGGTCAGCCCAGAGTTAAGGACGAACATCAGCAGGAGATATCCAATTAGGAACGCGCCGGCTTGTATCTTCCGACCATTGAAGAAAATTACCAAAACGGCAATAGCTACAGTTTGGATAGCCAGGAAGGTGCTGTCGCCCCAAGCACTGAATGGGTAGCCGTGCATAAAGTTGTACGACAGGTGGAAAGAGATCGCCAGTAGATCCAGCACCACACCCATTATATTAATGCCCTCGCCGGACTTGCTGCTGAGAATCTTGAGCACTTGTGGCACCTTCACTAGCACGGATCCGGCAATGATGGCCAGACCAAGGCCCTTGCTCAGCAGAGCCTTGAAACATGGAACTACGGATGAAAATAATGAGTTATTAATTACCAAAACTGGATTACCGACCACTCACTGTCCAGGAAGTTGTGTTCAAGGAAATAGTTATCATAGCACTTCTCGCTCATGAGGAACAGAGCTCCTTTCTTGATAATATCAGTCATTTTGCGCTTCTAGTTTATCACAGAGGTCGAAGTTAATTAATAAGTGCCCTCTATATTAGCTATGCCCGTATCCGGTGTTATCAAGCCGCTTGCCGTGATTACTGGCTGGATGATTGCCTGCGAATGAAATTGAAAGCACCGATGTAGGTGGACACGTAATGCCGAAGAAGTTAATCCCCAGTGGCGAATTTGGCTTGGTATAGGCTGATAAGGTAAAGGTACTTACAACTCTACTAATGCCTAGTAGCTGACACTGTGCAGCTTGCTCTTGTTGACAAAATATCAAGAATATGACAGCTTTCACTATATGAAGTATGCAAAAGTTAAAAATGCGACGTGTTTTTAATCGTTATGCAACACTGGTTACAGTAAAACATAAACTTGAAGGGTATACAAATTAATAAACATTAACCATAATTTCTTGTATAAATTATTATTTTATAAAAAACAAAAGTATATTCTTAAAGCTACTTCAGTTATATGATTTTTTTCCCCTTCGCTAAAAAAAGTATTGAATAATTAACAGGCTTGTCCCACTGTTTACAGAAAAGTGACAGCCGGGTGGCAGTGTGGCAACTGTCATTTCATTTTCAAGAGGCGCCAAATTCAAATCGTTGTTTGGCCAAAGAGTAAACTTTATCTCTATTTCGAAAATACACAATTTTATGACTCTAACAAACCATTAACCCAAACAACCCAAAATAAAAATCATAAATTCATTTAAAAAAGTTATCTAATTACGTTTTATTATGACAATTTGTCTGCATGTTTGATGTACATCTTTCAATTTCAAGTATCTCCGTGTCGTGTGGTGTCTTTAAAATATAATTCAATTGATTTAATATAAAACAAATAATTGCATTGAAATTCAATGAATTCGAAGAAATATTGAACTTAAGCAATGTAGTCTCACACTTTGAATAAAACTAAAACTATTCAAAATAAAGTGTCTCTCGTGCCCATTGTTTGTTGATTTTGGGATGAAGTTTAGCAGCCAAACGCCGCAAAACGCGCGTATTTGTAGTGTTTGGACAGAGGACGTGGAAATAAAAACAGTTCACGAATTTTAATTATTTTTTGTTTGTTTTTTTTTTGTTTTAATGGGAGCGAGCATGTGAGAAGAATGATGAATTAATTAATTATTGTTGATTGCATCGCAGGTGACTTGCATTACTGCTTAGAACAGCAGCGTGCCCATACCACCCATCTCGGACTGCTCCTTGACGAAAATCTCAAAGTACTGGTAGATGATGGTCACCGCCAGCAGAATACCTGTGCCGGAACCGATGGCTCCCAGGAAATCGGCCATCACCGACAGAGCGCCGATGCAGAGACCGCCAAAGGCAGCCGCCGTTGGGATGTAGCGGTTCAGCTCGTGGATCATCGAGTTTTCGCGGTGGCCACGCATCACCATGTGCTGTTCCTTCAGTTGCTTGGCAACCTGCAGAAAAATAAGTTTACATATTAGTCCTATTATTCAAAAGATTCATATATATCTCTTGAAACTTACATCCTTAGCTGAGCTGCCAGACACATCAATCCAGGTCTTGGAGAAGAAAGCACAGGAGCCCAACATGAAGACGATGTAGAGCAGGGCATGGATGGGGTCGGTGAGAATGTGTCCAACACTCTCAGGTGGCGACAGGTAGTAGCAGAGACCACCGATGGGGTAAGAGCGAGCAGGGCCGCCACCGCCAACATCGGCCCACACTCCGAGGAGGTTGATGAAGAAGTTGCCCTGGAATTTGACGGCCAGCATCTGGGAGATGACGTACAAGTTGGAAACGAGAGCAGACTGCAGAATGATGGGAATGTTGGAGGTGTAGAATAGCTTGATGGGGTAGCTGCTGTACTGGCCACGGTAACGGGCGCTCTTGATGGGTAGATCCACGCGGAAACCTTGGAAGTATATGACAACAGCGAAGACCAGGACGGTAGCCAGCAGGTTCATCAGGTTGGGCAGGTTCTGGCGGTAGAAAGCCTCGCGCAGGGCGCGCACCTTGTCGTTGCGTGTGGCCATCAGGTGGAAAAGAGCGATCACAGCTCCCTCGAACTCAGTTCCGCGTCCAGTGGTGACGGTGGTCGGGCTGAATGCCTTCCACACGATTGTCTCACAGATGTTGGTGGCGATGAAGAGGGAAATACCGGATCCCAGACCATAACCCTTCTGCAGCAGCTCGTCGAGCAACAGCACAATCAGACCGGCGGCGAACAGCTGGATGATGATCAGCAGACAGACACCGGCTCCAATCTCGGACGGATCGCCATACATGCCAGTCATCACATAAACGATGGCCTGGCCAATGGTGATGACCATGCCGAACAGCTTCTGGGCGCCGTTGAACAGGGCACGATCCTTGGGAGTGTCACCAACCTCAATGATCTTGGCTCCAGCCAACAGCTGCATGATCAGACCCGAGGTGACGATGGGCGAGATACCCAGCTCCATGAGGGTACCACGGTTAGAGGCCAGGATCACACGGATCCAGTAGAAGGGATCGGCGGAGTCTGAGCTCATGATACCGAAGAGCGGGATCTGGCAGCAGACCAAGAAGATGAACAAAGTGATGGCAGTCCATAGCACTTTCTCCCTGAATTGGATCTGTAAATGGTTGAAGAACATTGAAGAATTGATGAATGAGTCATGGGAATTACATTCTTTAGTGTCTTTGTAACTTTCTTTTATAAACCTATTTGCTTAGATTCAAGCCTCTCTTTACCCTTGAATATTAGCTTGGCAAACACAACCGCCGCTATGTTGACCCACATGTTCACTTCCCTAGCATGTGTGGACGTGTTGGAATTATTTAAACAAAATCAAGTTGCTGGCTTCGGTTTAATCGTCATCATCTTCGGCAAAAACAAAATAACGACGCTGACGTCGACCGAGCCGAAGTTTGACGTTTCCACGTATGTAGCTCGCTTGTCAGAGAGGCTCAGTGTGAGTGAGTCAGTGTGTGCGTGTGTGTGTGAAATAGGAGTATGGCAACAAGTAGTGATAAGAAAAGTAGTAGAAGCACTCAGGTGGAAAAAGAGCGATTTATGAATGAAAATTACTGTTAAACTTTAAAATATTTAACCGAGTTTCTGTTTCTAACTCTTTAATTTCTTAAAAATTATATATTTTAGATATAATTTATTTTCTTTTGTAAAAAAAGGGAAAATTTATAAAAATCATTAGCCCTTCTCATTTCATGGCTAGTTTCTCTCATTCGAGCACTGATTTGTTGTTGGATTTCTTGTTAAAAGAAGGGAGAGCAAACTGTTTGCGTGGCGCATCCAATTTTTGACAAGTGAAAGCAACCCCGTGCGCTGGCAACACTGAACACTGAGGGGGAGGGGTAATAGGGAGACGAAAACAGAAAAACGCCGCAAATTAACAAACAAATGGAACTTTTTTTCAGAAACACGTTACTGGACTTTACTTAATACTTATTATTCAGTTATGATGTTAATACACACCTTGCGCTCGGGCTTTGCAATTTCCGGCAGTATACTGCAGAAGGGTTTGATGACTTCCAGGAATTTGACTGCAAAAAGTGAATGAAAAGGCAGGAATTAGATTCATCCATTGTTAGCCAGGATCCAGCTTTCAGGGCACTATTATAGGCACACGGCGGAATCGAATTTTTTGTATACGTAAGCAAAGGCGACGGGCGGCCCAAGGCGGCACTCGTCTTTGCTGCACTTTCCCGATATTAGTTATAGCCCGCAGTCTACTTACTTCCCATCTTGGTGGATCTGTGTTGACGTGGGAGCCGAGGAGTCCCTTGATTAATGTACTTTCGTAGAACAACTAGAAAGTTTCACTCGAGAGCGCAGCGACGCAACCAACCACCGCTTCAAAATTCAAAAATTCGAATGAGTATGAAGTCTTGAGTGGGGGCGAAAAGGTGCGACGTCGACGTGTCCAAATGTCAAAAACGAGGGCTGTCGAAAGTATATGTCAAACTATCGATAACAAAAATATCGTCACTATCAGTAAAAAAAACTCACAGATAAGAAAATAGTATTTTCTGAAATAAGTCGACATTAATACATTTTTTAAAGCTAATATTATTATTTAACATCTTGCTTGCAAGATCTGCGGCTTGGATTCTATTATAATAAGATTCAGGAATATGATATATCTTTAAAATTGACTTAATACTTTACCTAGAACTTTTACCCCACTACAAATTTTTCTTTGACTTCCATCTCTGAGAATAGAAATACATGTCAACCATCAATCTTTCGCAATATAAAGCAAATTTAAAAGTTTTATATTCAAAGTACCACGACCGCGCCATATTACAACTTATTAATAGTGTGCCCAACTACTCAGTAGGGGCGCAATACCAAAAGGTTGCAAAATACTGGCTTAAACTATCGGTATTGCATTCTAGAACATTTACTCCACTAAAGGTCCATCTTTGGCTCCCATCTCTGACGATACTTTCTCCATATGAGCCCCGGGTGGCAACGCTAACCAGGGTAGAGCTCTCAAAAACAAATGAAAAGCAACAATACTAACGCAAGTTAGTTTTTATAATCGGACGAAATATATATGGGTTGTCATATAATAGTGAGAGCTTCGTGCGTCGCGTCGTGCCTCACACATATGAGTGAAAAACTAGCTGGCAACAACGGGAACGAGTCCAAATGTCAAAAAAAATCAAATTATCCAAGGTGCTGCGAGTAAAGTGAACAAATTGCGTGCGAATCGTTTTCGGTCGGACAATGTCTGCGTCGGTGATTTGCGTTGACTCGAGCTCGGACTCCGAGGAAGAGGTAATTCCCAGAGTTGGCTAGTGTGTGTAAAAAAGTACAGTCGGAATTCAAATAGGCTCGCTGCCTGGCTGGGCTTGTGTGTGTCTGTGTGCTGTTATTAAGAGTGGAATTTATTTCTTTTCGCGCTGCTTTTTTTTTTTGTTGAGAGCGGACTGCATGTAAACCCACCCACACAAATGCAAATGGGGTGTGAAGCTGCCAGACCGCTTCAAAATCAAACTTCTCTCCTGGCGGGCGTTTGCGGTTTTGTTTGTTGATATTTTGATTCAAATTTAAAATGCAAACGAGCCAACAGGTCGTCTTTCTCATTAATATGTTTTATTTAATAATTCAAATAATAATATTATTAATTAACCTTTAACTGGTGGGGTAAATGAATTTCAAAATAAACCTCTCTTTTTACCTAAAAACCTTGAGCATAAATTTAAAATAATTTGTATTTATTGTTACAGTCCCCACCTGGAGGAAAACGTCGTCGACTGACGGATCCAAAGCAACAGGGGACCCCATCTGGAGGTTCGGGAATGCCCACGAAACTGGTAAACATTCTCAAAGCCTCGCTAGGACCCGCGGGATCTCCAGGAACAGGACCTGCACGAGGTTCTGCAATCCTAGCAGATCCTCTCCGGTCGATGCACATACCCAGTGGGATTACAGTCACCAAGCACCAGAAAAATAACATGACCGCCAATGGCAGTCTCACAATATCTCTGGCCGAAAACAACAATAACAACACAAACAGCTGCAACAACAACGTGATGGGGAAGCCAATGAAGATGGTTGCCGCCCAGAACGTAGCGTGGTCGGTCAGCAGCAAGGCGCCCAGTTCGAATGCCGTGATAACAAGCGTGCCCAGCAATCAGGTCAAGATAACTCCAAGTCAACAGATCCGGGTTACGCCAACCGGCAAGGTGGTGTATGCCAATGCCAGCACCGGAGCATTCCCGAAACAGATGCCTGCAAAAATCATAGCACCGGTTGGGATAGGTCAGCAACAGCAGCAGCAGCAGCAGCAGCCGACACAAAAGCCATCACTTAAAATAAGTGTAACAAAACCAAAGACGCAAATAAAGCCAGAAGTACAGCAGCAGCCACAGAAGCAGCTTCTCGGGCAACTGCTTCAGCAACCACCAAAGCCATTCGTTGGAGCACCCCAGCAGAAAGTGTCCATCAGTCAGCTGCAGCCCACGCAGAAGGTTATGGTTGGACAATTCGCCCAGCAGCACCTCCAGGCACAGCAGCAAAAGATGCTAGGCGGAAAACTCCAGCAGCTACAGCCGCAAAAAATACTTCCGGGGCAAGTCCAACAGCCACAGCAGCCGAAACTACAGGCGGGACAAATCCAACCGATACGGAAAATAACAGAAGTCCAGGCGCCAATAACGCCCCTGAAGCAAAAGCAAAAATCACAAAAGTCACCTATTGTACAACTGCAACAGCAGCCAAAACAGCCGCAGCCCCAGAAAGTATCCATAGGACAAGCACCACAGCAACAAAGAGTCTCGTTGGGACAGATTCCTCACCAGCAGCAGCCACAGCAGCCGCAGCTGACGCAGCATACGAGAGTATCCCTTGGTCCAGTTGCCCAACAGCAGCCTAATCCATTCCTGGATCCAATCCAGCAACAGTCTTTAGCGCATTTACAAAGCCAGCAGATGCGAGCCTCCATTGGACAGCTTCAGATGCAACAAATGCAGCAAAAAGCCAACCAGCAGAGCCCACAGGCAGCGATAGTACAACAGCAGCCGAAGCAGCAGCCACCAAAAGGAAACCAAGGTCCGCAGCAACAGAAGGGCTTGGCGGTGGGGCAGCTGCTGCCGCAGAAGAACCTGAAAGTACATCAGCAAAATAAGACTGTGATAGGTCCACAGAGCACTGGGCAGCCGCAGCCGCAGCCGGTTCCGAGAACAGTAAACCCGTCCATAAACCAAATAACTCACAAATCGATGACGATACAAAAGCTACCCACGTTGCAGAAGACTCCCGCAGTGGCCAAGGTTCCCCCAAAGCAATTGGTTCCACCACAGATGCAGCAGCCTTTACAGGCTAGTCCCCTGCAGAAGCAGTTACCATTGGGTGCTAGTTCCTTGCAGAAGCAGTTGCCACAGCCCCCTAGTCCATTACAAAAGACCGTCAATCCATTGCAGAATCAGTTGCCACAGCCTGCCCATGTTGTGCACAAGCCACCAGCACAGCCCGCTAATCTTTCCAAGAAGCAAACCCCAAAGGCGGCTAATCCTTTGCAGAAGCAATCGCCACAACCCGCTCATCCTGCCCAAATGCAGATAACGCCCATGGCCATTCCAACGCCTCCGCCACCGCAGAAGAGCAGTGGGTCAATAGTCAGGCCGCCCACGGTGGCCAAGATCTCGCCAGTGTCGCCCACCAACCGACCCAGCTATCCTTTCCAGCCGCAGATGCCTGGAGCAGTTAATCCTTTGCTGAGTCCCTTGAATGAGTGCGGCACGTACCTTGCCTTTTCGCAGCACGTCACACAATGCCGCCCCAACGCCCCTGACGGCAGCCCAGCTCCAAGGGTTTACGGTAGCGAGTGCCACGCCCCCGCAGCGCCTGCTGGCGACACCACCTCACTGTGCAGCAGCCCTCAATGAGCCGCTGCTTCTGAATCTGCCGCCAACGACCAGCATAACACCGCAGCTGACGCCCACAACGACTCCACCGCCGGCAGCGATTCCCGCATCCGTACAGCAACTCCACCTGGCCAAGGCGGCTGCGTTCAAGCTGAACTCCCTGCCGGGAGCCAGCATATCTTCGGTACCGATACCGAAGCCTCCGGCGAAACGCGTTCAGCCGATTACAGTTCTCAAGAAATCTGACGAGGAGTGGCGGCGGCATCTTCTCGAACAGCAGGTGCAGCAAAAGCAAAAGGAACCACCCGAGGCCACCGCCAACCATTGTTCTGGTAGAGTCTCCGCCCACCACACCGCCCACAGAGAAGCTGGAAGTCCAGAGCAATGGGACTTCTTCAGCAAATGACCATCAGAACCTCCAGCCTACTGCGCCGAAAGATAAGAGTCGAAAACTCAAGTCACCAGACGTCACGGAAGTTGTGGACTTGGTTGATCAGCCGGAGACACCTCCACGAAAGAAGAGAAAGCTGGAAAAGCCAACGGAAAAGTCACCTCCAGCCAGGGCTCCATTTAATCCCGTGTATGCGGCATTCCTCAAGCTTTGTCGCGAGGTGGACAAGAGCAGTGATATGGAGCGTCTTGTACAGGGAAACCTCACCAAGTACTACTACAGTGTGAACGAGAGCTTCCTCCAATCCCGCGGTTTCCGAAAGCTACTCGAGGTTGCTTCGCATCGAATCAGGAACGAGTCGGACCTGGTGTATGTCCACATAAAGAACGTGGTGGATGAGATGAAGGCTAGACGGCTGCCGAAGGTCAAGGAAAGAAAGCCATCTAGAGAATCGTCGTCAAAGACAGCCGCTTCTGCTTCTTCAAAGGAAACCACGACACCATCTCGGAGTGACCACAAAAAAAGAGAGAACCATGTGGCTGAGAAAGAGACGGCGCAGGAGCAGCCAAAGGAGAAGGCGGACGAACCCGAGCCCATTTCTCCCACAGGTGATCTAAGGCGCGACGAGCGTATTCGGAAACTGAACCGCACCCTGTACACAATTACGAAGCGGATCAAGATGCTGGAGGAGGCGGATGTTGATTTTAACGACGAGGACTCTAGCTATCTGCAGGTGGAGCGTTTCAAGAAACGCGCCTGCCAAATTTATGAAAAAATCTGTGATTTAACCGGCGAAAGCAAGAGCGCCCATCGCCACCTGAAGCAACCTATCGTTTTTAAGGACACACCCTATGAAGAATTTAATCGTACGTTGTCAGCTTTTGTCAATCGGATGAAAGAGTTTCCCGACTACCACGACGTCCTCCAATTGCTGGAGCATTGCAACAAGGAAAAGGAGCTGGGTCTAGCCAAGTTCGAGATGAAACGAATAGGTAATGGCTTGAAACTTTCAACTGGTGATCTCTATTCTTATTTAAATCCTATTTTCTTCCAGCTTATGATGCTTTCAATAAAGTGGGACAACTCCTGCAATCGCGGCGCAAAACCGATCTCTATGAGACTGTTACTCATTTCACTTCGAACGACAAGGATCCGGCTGCCAGTGATCCGGAGCTGTTGGCCAAGCTGAAGGAAAACAGCAAGAAACAGAAAAAAATAAGTGATGTCCTAGAAAAGTGAGCATAATACGAGGATGTGATCTCTGTTTTTGTTCTTTTTTCTTGAAAAACACCTCTAAAATACATATATATCTTATCTTATAGGTACGCCCGAGAGCAAGACTTGAATGCCGAGGAGAGACAAGAGGCACGGCAGAAGGAGAAGCAACTGAAGCAAAAGATTGCCGAGGAGGCGGCCGCCAAGTTGGCTGCCATGGCAGAGGAAGACGATAAGCCATGTACCAGTGCCCAGGCAGCGGCTAAAGCGGCTGCCGCCGCCGCCTTGCTAAAGGAATCCGAGGCTGTTATCCTTAAGGATGAGAAACCTGGCGAGTCCAATCCAAAAGAAGACGAGGACGGAGACGATTCTGAAGAGGAGTCCGAATCGGAAGATGAAGATGTGGACGAGTTCGTAGACAACTTCAAAGTCAATGGCGAAGTCAGTGATGCAGAGTCTGAAGCGGAAGCGGATGTGGATGCTGAGGATGCGGATGCGGATGAAGATATAGCAGATGCAGAGGAAGGAGATGAGGGGGATGTTCCAGAAGAGGGTGAGGTTGCAGCTCCAGATGCAACAGACGATGTGGCAAAAGTAGCCTCAAAGGATAGTGCAGATGTGATAGACATAACGAGAAGTGAGACTGACGCCAAGGACGACCAATCCCTGCCCAACGGAAAGCTTAAGATCATGTCTGTCACCAGTCTGAACGCCAGCATTGTCCACGAACCGAGCCCAACATCCAAAATAAGTGCAAAGCCTGCCATCGACGCGGAGATCGTTATATCGGACGAGGAGTTGTAAACAGAGAGACGCATCTGCCGGCCGGCCTGCAACCCTAGTTGAGTATTTTATTTATTTGGTTCTTGTACCTTCCTAATTATTTCATTTTTTTCAAAATTGTTTATTCGTTGATTTATTTGGCAAACTTTTTCGTTGTTCTTGACAACACCAAGAATAAATCGTACAAAAGCATAACCAATTTATTATATTTGTAACTTTACCATCCTACCATATACCATTATATTGTATAAAGATTGTTGTGATGAGGACAAAACGATGATTTATTTTGTAAATTTTGTTTTCCTGTATTTAGTTAAAGATTAGTTTATAAAAATTTAAAAGGATTTTCTTTACTATTACGAAAAGTCCGTGCCCTTGGGTACTCGGTATTAATTAGAAATTGTATATATGGAATACTACTAAACTAAGTTAATTTTATAAGAAAAATCAACAAAAAAAAAACCAAGAAATAACTGAAAATATTTAATAGTTTATTTATCTTCGATGCTGCGTAAGAACTGGGAGATTCGGGACTTGTCATCAAAGGTTTCTTCGATGATATCAAAGTGATCGTAATCCTTGAATATCTTAAAATTGGTCGTGAATCCTTGGCTTTTAAGAACATCGGCGAACCGGCGACTTTGCTCTATGAAGGTGATACTGTCGTGCTCCGCCACAATCACATGCATTGTGGTATTCATCCAATTTTCTATTTCGTGGTATTCCCAAAGAATCGGAGAAAGAGCCTCCGCTTGGACAGCGCCGATGCCTAAAATATTCTTAGGATTCACCGCCTCCAAGTTCCAAAGCTCCCGCAGGTCATAGACCCCGCACATGAAGATAAGCGACGTAACCATCCGGGCTCGAGAGAGAGTAACGATGCCCGGGGATTTAAGGATCTCAGCCAATAAATGGGCTCCAGCTGAGTGTCCAGCAAAGCTAATTCCCTTTGACTGGCACTGTTCCGCGTAGTCAAAGACCCAACCGAGAAAGTCTCTGAATTCCTCCATTAGTTGTCCAAGGGTAACGTCTGGACACAAGTTGTAGTCCATCACCGCCACACGATATCCGCGACGAACATAAGGACCGACCATAGAACAGGAGTTGCTCTTGTCCAGCATTTGCCAGTAGCCGCCGTGAATGAAGACAAAGAGTGGAGCATCGTTGCTGTTTTTCAGGGAGTAGAAGACATCTACCACCTGCCTATCCGGACCATAGCGGCGATGATCCACCTGAATCCCCTGATTCGCCAGAGCCTCTTCATCTGAAATATGATTAAATATGAAATATAAGATTTAAAATTAATGAAATATTAGAAGAACATGATAACATGGTTATTTTTTGGTTGTTTTTTAAAGAGTCAGAAGGTTAACATTAAAGATGGCCTTGGTTGCCCCCATAGATAGGGGTCTGACCGTAAGCTTGGGCTTGAGCAAGAATACAGCAAAAAATCGTATTGGAAAGTAGAACAGTATAATTAATACTATTAATTTAATAGTAAACTAAACATTACTACACTGAGCTTAATGTCATAAATAAAATATCTTACGCTGCTGTGTTATCCTTATAAAATTGTCCAGCACGGCCACATTCGGCTCCCGCTCGTCCTGGAATCGGAGGGTATTATGACTTGGAAAGTATTCCTTGCTGAGGTCTTCACTTTCCGGATTATACATTGCTGATAAGGACCCAAAGCCGGATTTAAATTTAGGAAATAATTTTAAATTTAGAAAAGAAAGATGCCTTACCAAACCGATAGAATAGATACTAATTGTACAGCAATTAATCTCAATTGAAATTTAATATCTAAGCTTTATAATATTTGTAACAAGTCAAACCGGATTAGACCTCCAAGATCGCTATAGTAAGATCGAGCTTTTATTTTTAAAACATATTGTATTAAGAAAAAAAATATTATTGACTTTTCCAACACTGAATGTGGGGGCGAGTAGGCCAGGGTGGTTTTTTGTTGATTGTGTAGTACGGTCTCACTTTGACAACTTGGAAAGCCAACTCACCCAACAGAAATCCGTGTTTTGATTATTTGAAGCCGAAAAAACTTACAAAATGAGCCGTCAGCAAAACGAAGAGGACACCAACTCGGCGCTGTTCGATGCCCGCAATGAATACTACATCGGAAACTATATGGGTTCCATCAACTTTGTGCTCCCAGATCAGAGCACCGCTGGACCGGAGCTGCTGTCGTACATGTACCTTTCCTACCTGGCCATCGACTCTGGCCGCATTGTGGCCTCTGACATCAAGGAGAACAACACCACGCCCCTGCAGGCTCTCCGACTAGTCCATGAGGCGATCGAGCAGCCATCGAGGACAGAGGAGCTGCTGGAGAAGCTCACCGACAAGGTGGCTGGAGATGAGGACGAGACAAACATCTGGCACATTGCCACTGCCATCGTTTACTGCCGGGACGGACAGTTTGAGAACGCCCTGAAGATCCTGCACGGCTCAACCAATTTGGAGTCCATGGCGCTGTCCGTGCAGTGTCTGCTTCGTCTCCAGCGAGTGGATCTGGCCAAGCAGCTGGTTACTAAAATGCAGGAAATCAGCGACGACGCCACTCTGACGCAGCTAGCCCAGGGGTGGGTGGCCCTCGCTCAAGGTACCGAGCAGATGCAGGATGCTTTCCACATCTACCAAGAGTTCTGCGAGAAGTTCAAGCCCACTCCGGCCCTGCTTAACGGACAGGCTGTGGTTCATTTGGGTCTGGAGCGCTACGAGGAAGCCGACTCAGTGCTGCGCGAGTCTCTGCTGAAAAAACACAACGACTACGACACTCTCATCAACCTTATGGTCCTGGCCCATCTTACAGGCAAGCCATCTGAGGCCATCACTAGGAATCTTGAACAGCTGCGACAGTTTTATCCGAAGAGCGACTTTGTCACCGACCTGGACAAAAAGTCGGCAGAGTTTGACCGTCTGTGCCTGCAATACGACCTCGTAGGCGAGGATAAGCTGTTGGCCATTTAGGTATAAATGAAAATTCCAAATATATATTATCAAAATCTTCTATCTTTATGTATTAAATTACAATAAAAATGCTTTAGCAATATATGAGGTAGTGGATAGAACATCAGTAGCTGAAATGGAAATGAAAACCATTACTTGGTGCTCCTTAAATCAGTTAATTGTAACTTACTTCTGTTTGAAGCCATATTTCTTGCGTTCGTAGAACAAGTCAGTCTTGGAGCATCCCAGGTTCACGATCTTGGGACAGCCGTCACGCTACAAAGAAACTATTAATATAAAGGTCTCCTTAAAAGGACTATTTGTTACATACATCCTTCTCTTGTATGGTGCAGGATTTGCAGTAGTAGGCATCGGACACACCGGGTCCTCCGCAGATGACGCACCTTCCCTGATAGGATCCATAGTTACATTCGTCGCAGATTCGCACCAGGGTACAAGGACGTACATAGGAGTCGCAGATCACGCATTTTCCATCGTCCTTTTCGCAAAGGCGTCCAATGGCTGTCCCATGTGGGTGGTTAAGGCAAAACATTACAATTCAACCTGTTTTGGGTCTTTTTATGTAAAAACTTACCCACGCCGGGCTGTTTACGGCAGAAAATCAAATCAGGATGATGCTTAGCCATATTTTTATTGTATTTAGTTAGTAATTTTTAAGAAAACAAAATTTACAGAAAAAACTGCGGCTTTTCTAGTGATACCGTTTGTGGCAGTGCAACTATTAGGGTTGTCAAGCGCACCGAATAGATACAAGGGATATTCTGTATTTAGGGTTTCAGTAGTTCTGAAGCGGTTTTAATTCCAATTTTTACAAAACAGATTGGTTAAGTAAAAATTTAGTTAATTTCCATTTCTGATAGGTTCATCTTAATACATTTTTAACTGAAATAACTTATGCAGGTGCATTTTGTACCTGCAAGTCTGTGTTAGCTAACGCCCATATTAGTCAGGCCAGTATTGGAAACCGCGTCACAGCGACCAGTATACCTAAAAACAAAAAACAAAAGAAAAACAATCTCGAAGAATGCAACAAATCAGCTAGGAGAATTGCATCTGAGCAAGGACAGTAACTAGAAGTTATAAGAACTCTACAGAAATGTCGCAGGCTGCATCTACGACTCAGAGTGCGGCAGCTGCACCGGTGGGGGGCAACAGAAGGCCCCTTCCCAACGATGTTGTGGGCGGCGTGGGCGTCATGGGGACCACCATGTCAGCTCGATACGGAGAGACGGAGTGGGAGGCCCGAGAGGTTTGTGATAACATATTTTATTTTCACGATATGTTTCTTCTATGAAATTTCTTTCTTACAGTCCCAAAGACAGAGGGAGCTTCATGAAGCCCGAGCCAGGGCGGCTCAAATGGAAAAGACCATGAAGTGGTGGTAAGTGACTGCTCCGACTCTTTTCATAGCTCTCCACCTTTAAATAATACTTTGCTTTTAGGTCCGACTGCACTGCCAACTGGCGGGAGAAGTGGAGTAAGGTAATTATGGAAGTCCGGTTGCCATGGCTGTGAAGTTGGTTCAATATGTCCGGTGTCCAATAACAAACAACTTTTTCCAGGTGCGTAACGAGCGAAACAAAGCCAGGGAAGAGTCCAAGCAGCTGAGTATTAAGCTGGACGTCGCTATGAAAGATGCACATTCCCTCAAGCGCGAGAAGAACGATCTCGAGCTGCAGATCACGCAGCTCAAGAAGGAAATGGAGAAGGTGCACTCGCTAATGATGAAGCATGCCGGTCAGTTCCATCGCGCCGACACCAGTGAAGATGCAGAGGCCAACGGCCGGGATGCCAACTGTTCCCCGGACATCTCGTCGGATGGACTAAAGAACGTAAACAGCGAGGATGGCCTGGTGATGAAATTGCCCGGTGAAGCCAAGGATCAGGACATCGAGGAGTTTGCATTGAAGGGGGCCATGCCCAAGCATCTTACAGAGTTGGATGAAGCAGCTGCTGCAGAGGAAAAGCGCTTGATTCAGCAGCTTTCCAAAGATGACTTTGACGAGGACTACTTGACGCAGAAGATATCTATGCTGCAGTTGCGTTTGGATGAGGCGCAGAAAACACTTCAGGCGGAGAGAGAGTAAGTGGTAGCCTCTATTACTCTATTGGTTGGTTAACATTTTGTTTACTTTTCTTAGCGAGAAACTGGAACTCCACAAGAGCATTGAGAAGCTCACCCTTGAGATCCAGGATGTGCGTGGGCGGCAGGAAGAGATGCGTTCTGCAAAGCAAGAGGCAGTAAGGGAACTTCTAACCTTGCAGGAGCAACATCGCGCCGAGATGCGTATCGTTAACAACTCTCTTCAAGAGGAGATAGCCGCAAGGGAGAACCTAGAGCGACGGTGAGTTGTACAAACTCTAGCTTTATGATTAAAACTAAATGACTTGCTTATCCAGACTCACGGAACTCCGCACTGAGCTGGAGCATCTGCAGGCGGAGAATGCATCCGAGTGGGGCAAGCGGGAGCGACTGGAATCGGAGAAACTTGCCATGGAGCGCGATAACAAGAAGCTGCGTGCTGAACTGAGGGACTACCAGGAACGATCTGATCGCAAGTGCCGCCCCATGCAGGCGAACGACGTGGAGCTACGGGCACTCCAGCAGGAGCTCTCGGAGCGCAACAAGGAAATCAGCGAAGTAAAGATGTCGCACGCCAAGCTAAAAAAGCTGCTGGCAGAGACAAACACCGAGCTGGGCCATGCCGTTCGTCGGGCGGAGCAGTACGAGGCGGAGGTAAGTAGATTCACACCCAAAAATGTATTATCGGATGATTTAGGGAGCAGATTAGGCGTATCAGCTTATCGGAGGAGGGAAACTGACGATTATGTCGAGATGATAAGCCATCGTTCTCACAAAAATAATTTGATTTAGTTAATTTTTATTCAGATCGACACATAACACTCGACATAACACACTTTTAAATGCAGTATTTTAGGAATCTCCCTTCCATATCGGAATCAATTGGCAAAGGCTGCCAGTCCTGTGATGGCACGGCCCAGGATTAGAGCATGGATGTCGTGGGTTCCCTCGTAGGTAATCACCGATTCCAGGTTCATCACATGCCTGATCACATGGTACTCGTCGCTGATGCCATTGCCGCCCAGCATGTCCCTCATCTGGCGGGCAATGTCCAGGGACTTTCCAGTGTTGTTTCGCTTCAGCATCGAGATCATCTCGGGCGTATGCAGTTTTTGGTCCTTGAGACGACCCACATGCAGGCAGGCTTGCAGACCCAAAGCGATTTCTGTGGTGGCATCGGCCAGCTTCTTCTGGATCAGTTGGTTGGCAGCCAGTGGACGTCCAAACTGCTTGCGATCCAGGGTGTATTGGCGGGCGATTTCCAAGCAAGCCTCGGCGGCACCCAAGGCGCCCCATGCGATTCCATAACGAGCATTGTTTAGGCAGTTAAAGGGTCCACTGAAACCCAGGGCATTGGGCAGCAGCTGCTCCTCCGGCACGCGGACATCGTCCATCAGGATCATACCGGTGGGTGAAGCGCGCAGCGAGAACTTTCCCTCGATCTTGGGCGTGTCTAGGCCCTGACCGGAGATCTTGCGGTCTACCAGAAAACCGCGAACCTTGCCGTCTTCACACTTGGCCCAGACGACAATCACATCGGCGATGGGAGCACTGGTGATCCAGGTCTTGGATCCGTTCAGGATGTACGTCTTGGTTTTGCTGTCGTACTTGGCACGCGTCTCCATGCCGGCAGGATCGCTGCCATGATTGGGTTCGGTCAGACCAAAAGCACCAATCAGCTTGCCCTGCGCCATGCTGGGCAGATAGCGCTGCTTCTGCTCCTCGGAACCATAGTCGTAAATCGCGCCCATGGCCAAGGAACTCTGAACACTCACGGCCGATCGGTAGGCGGAGTCCACACGCTCCACCTCGCGGGTGAGCAGACCGTAGGCCACACTGGACACTCCAGCACAGCCATAGCCTTGCAGGGTGCATCCGAGTACTCCCAGGCTGCCGATCTCCTCCATGATCTTTTTGTCGAACTGCTCCAGGCGATTGGCCAGCTTGACGCGCGGCAACAGTTCCGACTGGCAGTATCCGCGGAAGGCATCTCTTATGGCCACCTCCTCCTCGGTCAGCTGGCTCTCCAGATTCAGGGGATCCTGCCAGTTGAATTTGGCCGCTGCCGCCTTCGAGCTCGTGCTGGCCAGGCGGCGGGCACAAGGACGCAGCTTACTGATTACACTTTGCGCAATCATTACTCCAATTTGTTGTTTTCCTCTCGGTTGGAAATAATCAGCAGGTTCCCTAAAGAACAGCTGCTTGTTCTTCGCTCGTGAGTTGGTTCGAGAATGAAAAAAGCTCCAATCGCGAGCTCCCCAAGTTCCTACTCTCTCTCTCTCTGCGCCCATCACTGGAAAGCTCTGAGCTTTAACGGTCTCAGCGTTAGTGTCTCTCTCCCGATCGGCGCTCTTATCTCCCTCTCTTTTTGTTTACCCCCCAATTTTTGTTTTTGTAGAATCTTAATCTATGGGTAATCTAAATTTTTCGCATTATCGCCTATATAGTATTCCTCACTTGACGATAGAAACCAAGAGTGAAGTAAAGGAAATTTTTCCTATAGCTTGGCGGGGGTCGCTGGCTTATCACTTGGATAGGAATACTGAAAACACGCCTCTTGTTTTGTTTGGAGATTAGGATGAATACCATAACTTAATAATATATATAATAAAACACAAACTCTTAAATATTTAAGGTCAAACGACTTCGTCAAAGGGTAGAGGAACTCAAACGAGAACTGGCTGGTGCCGAGGATGAACTGGACTCGGCCGTGAACCAGGTGCGACGTCTGCAGCGCTCCAATGACGAGCTGGTGGGCCAGACCGAGGGCTTGCAGGTCCAGATACAGCATCTCCAGAACAGGTATGAAGCGTGACTCCTCCATTAAACTCTCTATAGTTAAGATCTCTGACTAATTCTTAAACCCACTAACTTTTCTCTGGTGCTGGACTGGCTAACATCCTAACACACACACACTTTTAACCCACCTAACTTAGACGTGCCCCGAGCCCACAGATGAGGGGACTGGGCGGGGTGCAGTTAAGGAACAAGATCGCTGTGGAGCTCCCCAACGACTGCTTGCCGAATATCAACGATCTGCGACAGATCTTTGATGACTCGCAGGCAGGATTAAGGAGCTCCCACAACGGCAGCGATGCTGCTGTTCATCATGCCGCCTCCGTGAAGAGATCCAGTCACACGGAAAGAACTCTTCTCCAGCAGCAGCAGAGCAGTGCAGCTGCATCGGCAGCGGCGGCAGCTGCAGCAGCAGCTTTTTTTGATGCCAAGCCCACACACCTGGAGGAGAACATCTTCGAGTCGAAGTCGAGGAACCTGGAGTTCGAGCGGGCCAAACAGAAATTCGATAATCCGCATGGCCAGCACCATCATCACCAGAGGCAGCGGTCGGGGAATGGCCGGTATGGCAGTGCAGGAAGTGGAGCTAGTCGGGCTAATCTCGCCCTGCCTCTGAAGGGCATGAACAATGGGGGTACCTCCACCTCGTCCTCCACCAAAGACGAGCTCAACCGACAGCTCTACGAGGCTCATGAGAAGGAGCAATCGGCTGGGGTAGGATATGCCAGGAATAGTATTAATCTAGACGGTCTTAAGGTATCTGATGATGAGGTGAGACTTGTGGAGTCAATAATTTGTGGTTTATTATTTCTAATTATTTTCTTATTAAATTCTTATACCATATATTTTTATGTAAAAAACTTAAATTTAATGAATATTTTTTAATCTTTCAGACTCCGTAGCTATGGCTCGACAAGTTTACTTCTGGACGATGAGACCGAGGGAAACAGCGATTGAAACAAATCGAATACATTCGACAGAGAGTTAATGGTATTACTTAGTATTAATTTTAAAAAATGCATAAGTACTTTTAAGTTGATAGATCATTAGCCCCCTTAAGGATATATCAACTGGTTCCTTAGTTTTTTCTTATATAAGTGAAAACATTCGTAAACATATTTTTATGTACTTTTGAAATTCTAAACTAGTGACATAGGTTTTGTAATATTTTTAAACTAATTCCCATCATCGAATTATTAATCTGATAATCTTCAATAATATTCCATATATCGCTTTCGCTGGCCATATCTACATATATGAGCTTAACTCGCAGATAATACGGTTGTAAGGAGTCAGTATCCTTGACAAACCTCCATCTAAATCGGAAACCCTTGCCTTGACAAAAAACCATCAACAGACTTATTAAAAGATATACCGAAATATATACGTATTGGAAGCATAATGCAGGTTCGATTTTTACAAAATACATAATTAGTGCCAGAAGTCTATAGAAATTTGATGAGATTTAAAACAAAAGTCACTATGCTGCTGATCGAATAACGAGTTCATTTTCCAAAAATCTGTTTTTTTATGGTCTAGTCTTCTTTAGGGTTTTGTTTTTCAAGAATTTCAGCAGCATTAGGGACGGCCTATACTTATATGCAAAATTTACTTATCAATAGCAATATTAGTATTTTAGTTCTTAAATATTTACAATTAACCATTCATGACAAATACAAATGGTATGCCAATAAAGTTAGCATGTTACAAAATATATTAAATATTACAAGTATGTCTTGCCTCACTTGCTACTCAACCCTTGCATTAGATCTGTAAAAAAATAAAAATTTCGAGTGTTTCGGTTTGGGAATTCAAATTTTCAAAAAATCAAGCATGGTGCAAGTCTCACGGACCACCAAATTCACGGGCATCTGTATCGGTGTCTATGTTGCCTACGCCGTGTTCATATTCTTTCTGATGCCCCTCCTGATGCCCGATCCGGTGGCCCTGCAACGCTCCATTGTGGCCTACAAGACCCGCCACCTGGGCGATCTCAGTAACTACACCATGGAGACGGGTGGGCAGCCCATTCGCTCCATGCTGGTAACCTTTCGGGGATCGGGAGCTCTAACGCTGCTGGACAACTTGGCCAACCAGCCCGGATGCTACCAGCATTATGCTCCTTTAATTGGCTACCGGGGTCGCTACCATGTCGAAAGCCAGCCCGCTCATGTCCTGAAGGAACTGGATGCCCTCTTCAACTGCAACTACAACAGTTCCCTGAAAATGATTCGCTGGGGCAAGCGGTCACCGATCTTCCGGCGCTTCTACGGTGCCCAATCGAAGCTCTGCATGACCTACAGCCACGATAGCTGCTGGGATCCGGAGAATTTGGCGGCCATCTGTAGACTCCATCCCTTTATGAACATGGCTGTGTACAACATGAAGCTAAAGTACTTGGCCTTGTTGCTCGATCGGTAAGAACCCTTAGAATTTGTGGCTGAAAAAATAACATTTATCCCTTCTAGTCTGAATCTTCGCATCCTCTTACTTGTCCGTGATCCCCGGGGCACAATGTATTCTCGGAAGAATCGGAATTGGTGTGAAGGCTTGAAGGATTGCGAGGCGACTAGCCTCTGCGAGGATATGGTCAGCGATTTTAAAACTGCACAGATTCTCCGAGAGCAGTACCGGGATAGGTTTAGGTAAGAGACCTATAGAATAATACACATTATTGGGGTTTAAATACGATACCCACAGCACCATACGGTATGAGGACCTGGCGAATCATCCCGCTGAGGGCATTAAACAGGTATTCGAGTTCTACGGCATACCGCTACAGCGTCCCAGTGGGAGGAATCGTGGAATCCATCCTCGCAGCTGGATAAGTCATGATGGTTATGAAGTCGACATCGCCTATGGCACAAACAATCCCAACGAGTGGATGAGGAAAATGCAATACAAGGACATCAAGGATATCCAGAAGGTCTGCGGCGAAGCTATGGACATGTGGGGATATCGCCAAGTGGAGGACTTTGATACCTTTTCACCCAAAACCTTTGAACCGATGCTGGGCAAGGCTTGATCACTGTTTTAACCTAAAAAGCTTGATTTATATTTATCATGTAGTTATCTTTTTCGAGTTTGGGATTGCAGGAGGTTATCTGATTAATTGAGTAGTTATAATTAAATGCCTTTGTGTTCAAAATTATTAAATTGGAAGCAAAAAAAAAAACATTGACTAAATTGCTATATTTATTTTAGCTTAAAAATAATTTAAATCTTTTAATTTCTAGCAAATATTAAGATATTAAATCGTTAATTTCAAGCTCATGTCCTTTTTTCGGTTGTAAGTATTTGGCAGCCCTGGTACGCGTTAAGCAGAGACACAAACCCCATTAAATGGCATTCCCAGCTTGAAAATGGCTGCCCTGGTGAAAACTTAGCCACCTGGCAACACCATAGACCCCACCATCTGTTAGTGGCCCCACCAATGCTCCCCATCTGTTTTTTGTTTCTCGTTGCGTTCGCTTCGCGTCGCGGAAAGTCGACCGCTCACCAAAAAGGAAAACAAAGATATAAATATTTTGTTGGGTCGCGTCTTCTGCAATCTGCAATGCTCTCGAGGTGAGGGCGCGGGCAATAGATATGTATGTGCGTGTGGGTGCGTGGGAGTGAGCCAGCGGGCCAGTAATGTGCGAGTGCTGAGTGCCAAGTGCCAAGTCGTTGATTGTTTTCATAGCCAATTAGCCTGGGGCCACTGTGCTCGGTGGACTTCAGCCATTTGCCAGCCGAGTCCATAAGGAATCCAATGAGCACGGAGGAACTGGACCCCAATCGGGACTTGGAGACGTGCACACTCCTGAGCAATCCCTCGTCCTCCGGATCCGCCTTCTCCAACGCCGATCCGGCGAACGTTGAACCCGGCAGGACACGCGCTAAGCAGCGGATCAGCTTGAACGGAAAACGGAGACGCAGCCGGATGTCACGCAGGGCCAATCTGATCGGCATCTGCGCCGTGAGCAGCCTGTGCATCCTGCTGCTGATCGCCACCACCCAGCACCGTCCGCTGACAACCCCCTTCAACCAGGGAGCTGGCAGGGATCAGGCAGCTGGCGGCGGAGCGGGCCAGAGCGGCGGCGGCTATGGCATGGACGGAGGTCCGTCCAACTCACTGGCGCGCAGCGCCTTCTACGACCGCTTCCAGCAGCAGATGCAGCAGCAGCAGCAACAGCCGTCGCAGACGGCCGTCTACAATCTGACAGCTACTATAGTGGATGTCCTGTCGGCTCAACGGTCTCGTATCCTCACCGAGATGGAGAATTTTGAATATCCGCGCGGCGGTGCCGAGCGTCTGGCGGACATGACGCCGGAAACGAACGGCACTCCGGTGCGCAGTGTGGTGGTCACATCATGGCGCTCCGGCTCCACCTTCCTCGGGGACATACTCAACTCGATCCCCGGCAACTTCTATCACTACGAGCCTCTGCTCGACTTTGGGATCAAGCAAATCCGGGATCCCGACGACCAGGAACTGGCCGTCCAGAATCTGAAGAACCTGCTCAACTGCGACTACGCCGACATGATGGACTACCTGAACTTTGGCAAGACGCACACATATCTCTTCGAACACAATACCCGGCTGTGGGACGTCTGCCGGGAGTTTCCGCGCTTCTGCTGGCGACCCGCCTTCCTGACGCGCTTCTGCCGCCTCTTCCCCATCCAAAGCATGAAGACGGTCCGCCTGCGCCTGGCCCAGGCCGAGAAGCTCCTCGAGGATCAAAGGTGAGTGGTGAGTCTGGTTGCCAAGCCGGAGATAGAAAGTGAAAGGCGGCGGCGGCCATAAGTTGACAGCCGAGAGATGTTTCCTCGCCCCACGCCCTTCACGCATCACGGATGGAGTGGTTATGCGGGGGCTTAGTACGTGGAAGTATCAAGACGAGGGCCTAAATGAAGAATAATGTTTAAAAACTTTAATATTTTAGGTTAAAAAGGAACTTGTTAAAAGAAAATATATGAAATATAGTACTTTGTAATTTAATTATTTTTTTTATGGCTTTGAAACCTATATAGTTAGCAGGTCTGATTAGTTATACTACTTTGTTTGCCAATATTAAGTGATGCTTGCAATATTTATATGACTCTAGTAATGCCTTTTTTAGTGTTCAGCTATTTTTTATCTTATAAACCCGAATCAGTGCCGCCTTGTGAGTAGTTTCTTAAATAATCTCAGTTTTTTTATTCAGTCCATTGCCACAACAATTTCCTAATATCATTTCGTTTCTTTTTGTCCCTTTTTTATATCATATGGGCGTAGTCGAAGGCCTTTCTTTTGATAAATGTTAGGTTCGTACTCATATACATATTTTCTTAACTATTTTTTTTTATATTGCGCCGGAACTTCCTTAGCAGATATGAGAATATAAATGTTTTTCAAAAACAAAGCATTGAAGGAAAAAGATTATTTCTTTATCAAATAAACTGGTTTTTTTCAGAACTAAAATGAAAACAATTTATCTTTCAAATATGTTTTATTAATTAACTAATATGTGATTCATATAGCGCAATTTATTGCCGCGGCTTAATACTAAGATAAGATACTATATAATTTTTGAAGATTATAATATTTATATAGTTATAGTTAGTAGCTACTTGCAGTGACTTGTGACGATAATTGTGTTATCAGCGGAACTGCAATAAGCTTATTAAGGTCTACTTGGTTAGGGCTTCATTTCCACTTAAAAATACTTTAAGAATCTTAATTGTTATTTAACGATGAATATTTAATATCCCGCCACTTGTTACTGAAAACCCTTCACACACAAACTTCTCAAAATCAAATATTGTCCTGTATCCATTTCATTGTATTTACAAACCGGCTGAGTGGAAAACTCTTTTTCCGACAGACGTAAACACTCTGGAATAGAATCACAGAATCGAATCCTTTTCAGCCGCAAACAAAAGTTTCATTTACATAATTTCCCATTTAAAATGTAAGCCGGCCAACAAAAGCAAAAATCGATAAAATTAGTGTATAGCAATCCCGAGCTAAACAAACCAACAAAAAGTAAACAAAAAGGGAAAATGTATTTGATTGATGTGTATGGGTCTGGGGGCCATCCATCCATCCATCCATCCATCCACCGGCCCCCCAAATGAACCCTCTTCAGCTGGCTTTTGTGGTTTCGATTACATTTTGGCAGCACTCCTGCTACTACAGCTCCTTCATCTCTAGCAAGGACATTGGAGATATGTATTAGATTCGGCTTTGTGTTGTCTCAGTTGTGTCAATGTTATGCAAAGATCTCCATACCCATCCTTTGCCCAAAAAAACAAATTTCAATCAGAGACCAGTGACATTTGTACACTGATTTCAGTTCAATAAATAAACGGATTGATGGAGATAAAATTGCCGAGTGGAAAATGTCATTTATGCCATTCTTCTGCCACAGGCTTATAAATGCCACAAAGAAATGGATATTCACAGACACACTCTGGCAAGACAGAAAAACAATTAACACACTCCATCATACCAACATAGTTGGTTTGGACACTACCAGTATCCGGCATCCGGAAGTTGGGGCAGTAACTTAACAAACGCTTTATATAGAGCGGAATTTCTCTTTTGACCTGCTGGCTGTGTTTTTCGGGTAACTTGAGAAATGCTCCCATTTATTTGTTAGAATGAGTTCTAAGGCCTATTTATAGAGGGTTTTAGTTGGGAGGTTTAAGAAAGAGTATATTTAATATTTAAAATAATAGAAAATATTGTTATTGTAGCGATCTTTAAAATATAAATATCTGTATCTGTAGGATCTGTAGTTGAATCCATGCGAGAAATATGTATATTTTATTTTCCAGATGTTTTTTGAATAGTTTTACTATTAAAATTCTATTATATTCGAGCTTTCCTATGGAAGTCATTTAACACTTTGTAAAAACATCTTTAGATCTCTATTTTTATGACCGATTTTTACAACCATTCTCCTCTAATTAGCTCCGTAAAGAGCAGTTAAGTTCCGACTTAAAAGTATTTGCTTTCCACTTGGCGGACTGCAGTAAAAATTCTTTCACACTCTATTAACGCAAAGTCTTGCCCGAAGCCGCAGCGAAATGCATCAAAATTCCGGAAATGTTGACCAGTACTTGGATTTATGTTTTTCTGTTGGATGGCCACCAATCAGAACACCATCCCATCCACACACTTACTTTGGCCGCAATTTGGGTCAGTGCGCGCATTGTGGGCCAAAAAGCCGTGTTCGGTGAGTCACTCACTAAGCGGCCACTAACTTGGCTTCTAATTGTCGATTTGGCCGGGCACGGACTCGGTTTCTGGCTAGCTGGGTGTGCCCAGAATTTGGGGGCAACTATACGAACCCTTGGCGGCTCTTAAATTTGATGCCAAATGGCCATTTTATTTATAAATCACACATTATTTTTATGAGATTTTTCATGGGCTCTTTCCCCGCCACCGCCACGATAAGGCAACCAATGTGGTTAATGAATTGTGCTTGAATCAGATTTTATTCGAAAAGTATATATACTACGAGTATTTACTGCTATCATCTAGCTAGTTTCCTCCGGCTTTTGTGGCAGGCAACTTTGTGCGGCTTTTTGCCTTAAAAGTGGATTAAAATTGGAATGGAAAATTGAAAGCACCCGCAGGCCGCCAAAAAGCCAGAGAGAAGTATTCCTCCTAGGGCCAGAGAATCAACTGAACGTCTGCCGAAAGACCCAAAAGAACCGCAAAACCACAAAGAGTTTGGGCCGCTCAGTCCGTGTTAGTTGGCTTATAATGAGCAAAGTGGCCATTAACTCGAAAACTTTTGTGCGTCGCGTTTTAAAACCGGGCCAAGAAGAAAATGGCCAACAAACAATGAGCCCAGAGATGGGCGGAAAAAAAGGAAGCCGCTAGATGTCAAGACCCTGCAGTTTTTAGGGCTGCTGGAAAATTGTTAAGTTCTCGTAAGATTATTGCACCACAGACCTCATTCTGGCCTTTTAACAAGTTTGGCTTTTTTTTTGGTTATTCAGCTATGAACTTTTGACTTGACAGCTTTGACAAACAAAACCTGGCTGAGAGATAGATAAAGTAGGAACTCGAAGCCGGAGCGATCGCGGGTTCAGTGAACGCTCAAGTAGCATAATTTGTAGGCACTGTGCGAGTGTCTTTAGGATACACTCTATAAAAGGGGATACTAGTTTTGTTGGGAATGCTTATAAAATTGTTTTTATATTTGAAAATAAAACTTTATGATTCAAAGTTAAAGGATCTATAAAGGTGTTAGTATTTACACTTCTTGTAAATAAATTATATAATGTTTAAAACTAACTATATTTGCTTGCAATTTTATGGATCTATAAACCTATCATACCATATATAACCTAACTTGTTAGTGGATTTTATTGCATAGAGTGATTGGTTCAATTACAAGTTTAATATACTCGTATCTCAAAGATCTGTCTTAAATTTCATCAAGATTGGGTCAGTAGTTCCTGAGATATCGTCTCAACCAATTGTGAAACATATGTAGATATAGGAAAAACTCTTATAATATTTCATGTGACAATGGAACTTCTTCTAATATTAAATACTAGTTTACTATACTATACTTAAATACTTATACTAAAATACTTTTTAAAAATAACTAATATATTTTTTTTAATAGTAATTTTGCCCTAAAAGTATATGGATCTATAAACCTGTTATATATATATACATAGTATGACCGAATTTCGAGCAGTCCATTAAAACTACTTGGAAGAGCATTCACTCCACTTTGTTGGTCGATTTGTTGGGGTGTCCCAAACTTTTTGGCTTATTGCATTTGCAAAAAAGCGAAACGGGTTTCGTTGTTGGCTAAGCTGAACCTTTTTTTTTTATATCTTTGGCTTGTTGGGGCTTTTTTTTTTTTGGTACGTGTGGTGGAGATCGGTTTGGCGTAAATGGGTGAAAAGCAGCAATAAAAATTGTCGGCAGCCAGAGTCGGCCCCGGTGGCGGACTAGACCCGGAGCCAGAAACCTGGCTATGACAAACTCTCTTGGCCAGGCAGTGAAAGTGATTGATTTTTTTTCTTTCTGTTTGGCTTTTTCTCTCGTGTACTCAAAGTTTCGCTTTTTTTTCTCTCGGTGTTTGGGCGTAGAAATAATTTCTAAAATCGTAGCTAGATGGGTTTTATTTTCTTCGGGTTTTTGTGCCCGCTTGGAAGTTGATGATGAGGCGTTGGATGTTGATAATAATGGCAAATAATGATAAGTATAGAAATTTGGCCAAAATGGAAATGAAAACCAGTTAATCCAGTTGCTTGCATGCAAAGCACTTGATGGTGAAAATAATCATTCATTGGGTATTAACATTTGAGTGGATGTTTGACTAAAATTTGTCAGTTTTATTGGGAATATTGGATGAGTTCCTTATAGATCGAGTTCACTCGCTCCAGGCGGTCTCTAATAAGCGGTGTTGTTTTTTCTTGCAAGACTCCCAATGCCTTTTTCTTGATTTGGAACCGGCAAAAAGCGTGTGAAAATTACAATGATTTAGTGACTGAAAGCAGCTCATCGATCAATAGAATCGATCAGTCCAATGCAGCTAACGATGCCGCAAAACGAACGACCGCAACGGCATCTAAGTCTCGATAACGCACAGAAATTGATGAACCACGGAGCAGGAAGGTCCATCATCCATCTCCTAGAGAATCCCCTCCTCTACAGCCAAAACCTCAACCAAAACTAATGTCATAAAGTTGCAGTAGTCTCTATGGGAGGCTGGGGATGCAGGAGGATG